ACACTAAAAAAAGAATAATAATTTGACCAATAAAAAGTTGACCGAAGAAAATGAATTTTTTTTATTGTTCTGTTGAATACATGGATAATTTTATATAGGGGGTAATTAAATCTTCATTCACCAAGTGAAGATACGCATCAGCTTCTCGGTGCTCTATAAAAAGGAAGCATTTCTTTCATTAAGAACTCATCTCAACTCAACATTTTCTCCCTTAGCTTGTAACTGATTTCTTTGATCTTAGTTTTTGAGTTTCGAGCTATGGAAGCAGTGGCTACTCAAACAACCATGGAGACCACGAAAGTAACAAGCATCAAACCGCTTGCTGAATCCCCTGCTTTCAGCTCTCTTCCTTCTGCATATATGTTCAATGGAGACCCCAGTGACGAAGCAGATCCTAACGATCCTGAACTCACAATTCCTGTAGTTGATATGTCTCTTCTCACATCGGGGTCTCCTGATCAACGGTCCAAAATCATCCATGAAAATTTGCCAAGAATGGGGATGCTTCATTGTAAGCATAAAACCATATATTAATTATTCTGAAAATGAGAGTTTCCCCCTTAAAACTTATTTTCTCTCACTTAAAACCCATCCTCTTTATTTTTTCAGACATAAACCCCATTTACTAGAGTCCAACTAAGCAAATTTCCTTAACAAGCTTGGTATGTCAGTTTTTATAATTCTTGTGTTCCTAAAATACCCTCATAGAGCGTAACATAGGTTAGATTTGACTTATAATTAATAATAAGTTTTTCATTTTATTATTTTCGATGCAATTAAATGTCAATTAACCTATTATTTGATTAGGCTTTTTTTCTCAAATTTTTTTACCAAAAATTGTTTTATTATGAAACTAGCTTACCTTATTAGCATGCAATACATAATATAAATAAAAAAAATATTATGGTGTTTTACGTTGAGACATGGACAAAAATAATTTCTGTCAAAAAAATTATACAAAATAATGGTTGTATTTTTTTCTTTCCATAGAAAATAACAAGGAGTGAAGCCTGCGCGATGCTGCAGGTTTCAAAACTGTCTTAAACGTGTAAAAAGTAGGACATATATACGTGAGAAAATATGTGCCAAAGAGTAGGGTTATATACATATATTACATGAGAAAATTGAGGATGCTAATATGGCACAGTTAGAGAGTGCTATTTACATTCTTATATTACATGACAAAAAGTAGTATAGTTATTTAAAACAAAGACTCTGGCTTATCACTTGCAGCCATGTTTCCAATTGCTCAATTGCTTGTGATTTCTTAATTTTTGTTCTCTAATCAAGGGAAATTACAAAATCATATTGAAAACCCCTATTGAAGCACATTAATAATCTAACTAATGAATGTGATTCGAGAAATAAACCTTGTTAAAGTGCAATCGATCAGATCCCATCCTTGCATTGCTGGTTCCAACACGGCACTCTGTACACAAAATCCCAAAAAAAAAAAATTCAATAAGTAACCTACTTAATAGATTAATGTAGGCATATGTGAATTTGAATGGCTTAAAACTCAAAAATTGCGAAATTTTATAGAAAAGTTTCGATCAGACCTTATTTCAAAAACATACCTCTGTTCTTCCTCAGGCTGCGGAACAACTCATCCACCAAAACTGATTTAAAACATCTGTTTCGAGCCTAATCATTATGAGTCAATTTGGAGATTTGATAAAAGATCTCAGAAGTTAAATGAATAATTCAGATAAAAAAAAATAATATCAAAAGAACCCAAACTTCAAAAGAAAAATTGTCCTAAATCCTGCAAATTTAAACGAAGAATTCTAAAAAAAAGGTAAATCGATCTAATAAAGACATGAGTAAATTAATTTCATAAATATGAAATCATAAGCATGTGATTCCTAATACTACTGTTGGTATGAACAGTAAATTAATTTATGAGTAAATTGATTTCGATTAGCTTTAAAACTTAACCATTGCACACCAAATTCACAGCCTAAGCAAATTTGAGGGTGTAGAGTAAGAATATCACCTTCGTGGGACCCAAAAGGTCGAAAAGGCCTGAAACCGGTAGGAGAAAACTCAGATCTTTGTCCGAAAAACCCACTGCGAGCTGGGTTTATGGAACTCCTCGGTCTAGGGGCAGATTCGAGCATGCAAAACTCGAATGTTTTTGTTGGGACTCTCCTAAGTTGAATATATTGAGATAACACTCTGAAAGAATAGATGCAAAGTTGCAAATACACACACACACAAAACCTTAGACAATCCCTCCAGCTTAAGGGCATTCATATGCAGATTATATAGTTTCCTTCAAATATATATATGAATATAAATATATGAATTAATCAACCTTCTTCTCTCTTATGAATGCTTATTCTACTTATCATTGATATATATATATATATATATATATATATATATATATATAAGTTCAGGCATTCTCCTCACTATGTCCTCAAATGTGGATTGGCTGATTTTCAATTCAACTGATGCAAAAAGTACTATATATGTTTTGAGTTTATCAACGTAAAGATGTAAATAGTACTACATACATCAAACTGGTATGATGTATGCACTTGGAATCATACATTTATTACGTAGATGATTTGTCCTAAAACAATCACAACCTCAAACAACTAAAGTTTAGAGAACGAACTCTGAGTATCAGAGTACTTGACTCATCTCACTCTTTGCATAAAACATTTAAAAAACCAAATGCCAATTATTAAAATGGAAAAATCAAGTACCTAGCATCTTATCTAGACATTCAAGATGGTAAACAATACTTTTGAACACCCACTCTAAATATGACAACTATCAGCAACCCTCAACCTTGTAACCTAAATCAAGCTGGTTTCAAATAAACCAATAGAAAACCAAAATATCAGTGTTTGGGAAGTAACCTTATTTGAAATACCATTAAAAAAAAAGAGTATACTTTTAGGCAAATATTGTTCAAAAACAGAAATATAATTCATGATACTTGCCAAAAGGAAAATACCTCTCGATTACATTTCTTTCCTTCACAGCTCACAGACTTTCTCCTTGACAAAGTCCTAAGATAAAACCAAAAAGGAAAATTGGTCACAACTGATGCAATTTATCAATAAAAAATCACCGGAAAAAACAGAACTCAGATTCCACAATAAGCAAAAGGTAAGGAAAAAAGTGGATTTATTGAAGATTTGGAAATCCTACAGACACAAAGGTGAGAGAAAATCCTTCAAATAATTGCTTTGTTTCAACATGACCATTACTTTATGTGGCTGGAGACGATTGGTGGTAAGCTCACACAAAATTTGCAGATTAAACCACAACTACAATTGAAAAACAACGATATGGGATCACATTGATCATAAATTATTATCTGCAACTCAAAAAAAAAAGAAATTATTATCTGCAACTTAAAAATAAAAAGAGAGATAGAAACTTGCCGGAAAAACGAGAACCCTCGCCGAAGGGAAGATGATTGGTGGCAAAGGGGAGGTCCGATTCGCAATAGATGCAAAATTACAGATACACACACACAAAACCTTAGACAATCCCTCCAGCTTAAGGGCATTCATATGCAGATTATACAGTTTCCTTCAATTCATCTTAAAATGAACTAATATTGAACATGCAATACCTTAACGTATCTCCTAAGAGTGAGAGAAGTTGTTTCCAGGTAACGGAGAGGCTCAATTCATCGGCGATCGGCAGGAATTGGGTCGCTGGAAAATATGTATGAAACCCTAACTATTGGTTACACGAAAACAACGACAAAATTGGCAAGAGCTTGACTAAGAAGAGTGAGAGGGATGGGTTGGTAGTGGTTCAGAGGAGTGCAGTGGTCGTTTTACAGTAGTCGTGGTGAGTCGCGCGCGGAAAGGAATAGGAAGGCAGAGGATATATAAACAGTGGCAAACTTGAAATAATAGAAACTAAGAGAGGGTAAAATCGGAACAACACTGTGCTTATGAACAGTGTTTCAAGGCAAAATGTGTTTTAGTATATATTGAATTTACCTATCTATATGTTAGTACCCACTTAGAATAGAAATCCTGTAAAAATAATTTACCTACCCCATAGGTGTGATATTGTAAAGAAAAAAATGTATATGATTACTTTGGATATTATAAGTAATAATATGACAGTATTATTTGTATAGGTAAATTAATAAGTAGATTGGTAAATTAGTATGTACTACAAAAATGCAGATAAATTAGCTTGTAACAAAAGAATGTATGTAAATTAGTGATTTTTTTTTTAAATATAGGTAAATAGTTTGTATCAACAGAATGTAGGTCAATTAGTTTGTATCAAAAGAATGTAGGTAAATTAGTGAATTTTTAAAATATAGGTAAATAGTTTGTAATACGTGGTTTTAAAACAGGAGCTCAATTGCTCATTGCTAGCATAATTGAAGGTGAGTAATAATAATATTTATTGACATATTTAGGTCATTGTGGCTTATGTTGTAAATATTTCATAAGGATATGTCATTTATTTTCCAACATGGCAGACTATTTGAATTTTGGATTTTATTTGGATGTTTAATATGAGGTGGGTTTTTGTCTAGACAATATTAGTTACAAGGGCCTATATCTAAACAACCCATTAATTATTATTTCAGGAGTGATGTTATTAGATACACATAAAACTAACATACTTGCTAATGAAATCACACACTTACTGAGAGAGTCTACTCAACATTTTTGTTTATTTTTAGTACAACGATATATTAACACTAAGGCGTAGATTGTGGGCTAAGCCAATGGTTCATCCATAATAATTTGAAATCTAACTCGTCATCTACGTGAGTCAAGCGAAAGACTTCTCACTTAAGAGAAATAAAACACCACGAGACCTTAGTGTTAAGTGGCACCCTAAGTTAACCCTAAAGCATTATTGTTATTTCAGTTTATGAAGCATTATTGTTATTTACTTCTATGTCCGTAGGTACGTAGTAATTAGTTTTCTATACATAAAACCAATACTTAACTAATCATCATGGTTTGCAGGCCATTAACCACGAAGTACCACCGAGCTTAATGAAGGCGATGATCGATGCATGCCATGGATTTTTCACTCTCCCAGACGAAGAAAGGGAGGAGTTCAAATCTAGTAACGATGTGCTAGAGATGTTCAATTGCGGGACAAGTTATAATCTTGACTTGGATAAATTCCTTATGTGGAGGAATTTCTTCAAGGCCAGAGTACATCCTGAGTTTTATGCCCTAAGCAAACCGGCTGGCGTCAGTGAGGTCTCGTTGAAGTTTAGCCAGAAAACAAGACAAGTAGCATTGGAGATAGCAAGAGCAATAGCAGAAAGCTTGGGATTGGATCCCAGCTACATACATCATGCCATGAACACGGATCGTGGATTTGAAATCCTCGCCGCAAACTATTATCCGCCTTGCCCGCAGCCAGAAAGCGCCTTCCCCGTCATACTGATTCTGGCCTGTTCACTCTCCTAATCCAGAACGAGATGAATGGCCTCCAGGTCGAACACAGCGGAAAGTGGGTCACTATTGATGTCCCTCCCAACTGTTTCTTTGCCCAAATGGACATTCTAACTAACGGCAAGTACAAGAGCTTGATCCATCGGGCCACCTTGAACAACAAAGCTACAAGGATCTCTGTTGTCTTTTCGCATGGACCATCTGCGGACACAGTTATCGCACCGGCGCCGGAGTTGCTGGAAAAACACGGCCAAGCTCCCAAATATATTGGAATGAACTATATAGAATACATGAAAATTCAACTGAGCGGCAAGAGCTACCAGAAGTCAACCTTAGATCACATACGATATGAGCATGCAGGCTGATCAGTTGATAAGCTTTTATAGAGGCCCAAATTATTAAGATGCAACTTTCATTTTCGTTTGTTACGTAAAATAAAAGTTACAACTAAAAAACCTTAAATTCGAACGAGGTGTCATGTGTTGAAGAATAAAATAGGAATAATTTGGTGTTGTGTTTATTTCCTACCTTTAGGAGGAAGTAATATTTAGATTCCCTTGTCCTTGTGGATTTAGGTTTTCTTCTATAATATGATTGATTTTAGTTCATGTTTTTGAGTTATCCTTGTATCTTAATTTTCTATAATTTCCTCTTTATAGAGAAGAATAAAAATTACGAGTGTGTGTGAGATTATAAGAAACTTATCAAATTTTTATGGGAATTGTTATTAAAACTTCAAAAATCTCATTCTACACTTCAAACTTCTATATTATGAAAGAAAAATACACTTGTAAGGAGTGTATAATGAGATTTTTGGAGTGTCAATAACATTTCCTTTCTTTTATAAATAATTTACCCACTTTTAAGATAATTTACCACTCTTCGATGTTAGCATTTGTGCATCATTGACTCTCTTTTTTGCACTTAATCTTATTATTGAAAAAAAAATAAAATCTTACATATGGATCGGATTTGTGGCAACATAAAAAAGACGCTAGTTTTAACGCAAGTCTTAAACCATTAGATTTATTCACTTTGAATTGTTGAGATATAATATGATTTATTTTTATTATTTAAATAACGGTTAAGTCCAGATAATTACCTAACTTGTTAGGGGTAATTCCGAATTGATCCCAACCTTTTAGAACTTTCCAAATAACTACCAATGCTTTGAAAAGTGGACATTTGTTAAGTTCAGTTGCGTTAAGCGATGATGTGGACAGTTATTAAAGCGGGTTTTTACCCTCAAGTCATCTTGGTGTTTTGAATTTCCAAATGAACGTAGCTTAACTAAGCAAATTTACAACTTAACTTAACTAAAAAGAGTCGATTTGGAGAATTAAAGCTCCAAAGACTACGATTAGTAGGGACCAACTTTAGTATTTGTCCACCTCATCTTTTAATGCTAGAAAAATTATCACTTAATGTTGGTAAAGTCATCACTTAACACTGACGACCTAACGAATGACTAATTTAAAATCACTCTAAAAGGTTAGGTAGTTATTCTTACTTAACCTTTTGAATAAGTATACATTAGAAGCAAATAACGTTTGAATTAAGATTTGGTATTCTGTTTTTCATTGATTCTCTCTCAATCTCTTTCTTCTCCCCTTAATTTTCGTTTCTCTACGTATCTTACACTCTAACATTCTTCTTCGTGCGGCTGTGCTAACCATGCATGAATTTTTTTATTAAGATGGGCTGGGACAAAAGATTATTTATATGTTGTGCAGTGTATTAATTTAATCAATGATAATTTTGTTAAGCTGCAGCCTGCATAATGCAGTTCACGTAGAAACTGCAGCAGAAAGGAAAAAGGGGAATACAATCCGCAAGCTAAGAAAAGAGAAGCTGTAGGAAGCTAACTCAATGGGGTAAAATTCTATTCAAACTTCATTACTCAACTTCTCAAATACACCTGATTTAAACTTGAAAATGAAACTTGAAATAGTAAATAAGAAGGAAAAAGGAAGAACCAACTTCTAGGTACAACCATTAAGTGCAATAATCTTGGAACTTGATGGGTATTTTATTCTTCCTCTTTGGACGCTCCTCGGAAGTATCAGGTTTTTCGTTTACCGACGATTCATAATTGAGACCCAAGGATGGCTCTTCAGCTGGTCCTCCATCACTGCAGGTTTGTTGGAACAAAAAAAAATGAATCCACTTGTTGTATGAAGATAAGCATGCACCAGCTTCTCACTCAGTGCTCTATAAAAAGGAAGCAATGGATGCAGTGGCCACTCAAACAACGATGGAGACCTCGAAAGTTACAGGCATCAAATCGCTTGCTGAATCCCCCGCTTGCCCCATTCCTTCTGCATGTGTTCAACAAAGACCCCATTAATGACGAAGCAGATCCCACTACAAAAAATCAGGCTTTCAATCACAACGAAGATTGTGACTACAAGTATAAAATGTTGTGAGTAAAACATTTAGTCACGAAAAACTTTTGTAACTAGGTTGTGATTGAAAACCCCATGACTCATTGATTTAGTCATAAAAAAACAAAACACAGTGACTAACTAAAAATGTATTATCACATCTCTTGTTACTAGAAAATTAAACCAGATTGTAATACCCTGAAAATTTAAATATACGAATATGTGGAGAAAAATCGAAAATAAGTTGATTTATGATTATGAAATTCGAATGGGAGAAAATGTGAAATCCCGTCTCCGGATTTTATTATTTTTATCGTATAATTTTTTGTTAAGTAAGAAATGACAAAAATGCTCCTAATTGGTTAACTTAAATATATGAGATATTACGATTCCTTCCAGACTGTTAGTTACTAGCTTGGATAAAAAGAAACTCGTGGAAAAAATTTTGTTTGGTCAATGATGATTATATTTAGAAATTCTTTATGTTTGTATGGCCAATGCGAATGATGGTTAGAAATTTTATTATTTATGAAAGTCATTAGAAATGGAATGGTGGAAAAACCATGAAGATTTCTTCATTTATTATGGGAGGATATGAATAAAATTATGGAATGAGATTTTGATTTGTTTAATATAAACAATTTTCCAGTTGTGTTTTTCCGTTTGATGAAAAGAATTGATGGACAAAGTTTGTAATTACAAATTTGATTAGTTTGGTTGCCATAGTCATGAGTTGTCGTTGTGGATTTGATCTTTCTAACAAAACTAATGAAGCGCACATATTCTCATGGTTATGTGATTAATAAGGTTTAATTTCATTGACCGTTAAAGTCGTGATATATAAATTCTCTCATTTGGTTGATGGAATGTGAAAAGTGCTCTAGAAGTGTGAGTCACAAATTTATTCGATCTATGGCTACACTTTGAAGCAATTTAAAAGAGAAACAATTGAAAGAAAGATTTAAAAGGCTTTTAAATTTACTATGGGTAATTTAGTTTAATTGTGGATATAAATGAAATCATAGAAAGAGATTTTGATTTCGTTCAATGTTAACGGTATTGCAGATTTGGTTTTAAACTTCTTTCCATTACTCAGTGAGTGTTGTAGAGCCTAAAATAATCCCAAAAATTCTAAAGGCGACACGTGGACTTTTATTCAAGAAAAACAAGATTGCCCTCAATAAATAGACAGACTTCTCAGATTCTCCCACGCGCAGCTCACATCCATGAAGAACTCAGCAGCTGAACACAACTGCCCACAGCTCACCTGCCCATGGCAAGGAATTAAAGATAAGGATTAATTACCCAAATCCTATCTTTAATACATTCCTAATTGAAGATTGACCTCAATCAAATAAGTAATCCTAATTTAAATCAATTAAGGATTATTACCCTATTATCTCAATATATTATCTCCTATTAAATATCTTGGGAATATTTAGAGAATATTTCTCCATTAAACCCTATATGGCCGGCCCTAGCCCTATAAATACCCCATATTCTACCAATTTTGGGGAGCTTTTTGCAACCCTAAAAAGCCTTAAACACTTTACAACGGAAATTTGCATCGACAAATTGGTGCTTTCATTGAGAGCCGATTCAAAATACTCGAATAAGCCTCTCGCATTAGTTTCTTGAATTTTCTATTACGTTGAATTTCTCACACGTTGCATCAATTAATTTTTCCTAGAAAAGTTTCTTGATCAATCCCTGGAGAAAGGATACAATGGTAGGAAATTCAGAAACTACGACGAATGGAACCCCATATGTGGAAGGATTTGGACCGAAGAGTGGAGACGATGACATAACCTCACGACGGAGATCCTCAAGGCTTAATGCGACGACAGGAGGAGCCCGACCACCACGGAGCCACGTCACCATCATCATCACCGAGACCCATAAGCCACGACACCACTTCTACCAAACATTAGGCAGGAGGCCCAGAACCACTTCCAAGCCCCTGGGTAGGAGGCCCAGCCCAATGCAGCAGTAGGCCTTGTTACACAGCAGGCCCGAACCCGAGCCTAGAATTCGGCAACTACTGCTAGCCAGGCAGCTCAGTGAGCCGAAGCCCAAACCTAAACCCAAGCCACTCAGCTAGCAGGCCAAGATGTGGCAGCCCAACGGCCAGGAAGGCCCACGGCCATATAGATCCAAGATAAGCAGGCGCCGGTCCAATGCGCTCCGCGACCAAACCCATTTTAAGGCCACCTCCAATGATCCAGATTTCGACCACGGGCCCCGCAATCGATTTAGGGTTACTTACACCCCACTTTTCTGCAGGACTACCTGCTTTGGGCTCAACTTTTGTACCTACAGTCCACTATACTTCTACCACTCAAGGAGACGCCCATTTTCCAAGCTTTTCCAATCCAAATGGCGAGCACTACTTGCCCTAGTAGGTCGCCAATTTGACGAACGCCCTCATGCAGCATACCACCTTGGTGAACTAACTCTTTGAGCGCATCGAGATGCAGTGCGCCCCAGATGAGGTGTCTTGAGGCAGGATAAGGGCAGAAGAACGTGACTTATTCCAGCGACGTCCTGGCAAAAAGTTGCTCAACCTGCCACGAACCGTGCATTCGGGTAGTGTGCACTCTCATTTAGGCCCTCAGGGAAACGTCTTCTCCT